CCGCTATTTAAACCGGAATGTCCGGTATTCAAAAAGTTCATATCATAACAAAAATAAAATCGGTATTCGACACAAAACGGTATATCGTCCAGCACTAGGTAATATACTGTCTAATGAAAAAAATACTCAGGTGAGAGTGAAATAAAATTAAAAATTATGTTCCATCCTCAATATCTCTTAAACCACAGCAGCTGTTTTAATACTGACACTTCTGATGAAATCTACCAAGTGCTTTATTTTGATACCAAGAATATTTAAATAGAGTTTGTAAATCCTGAGATACTCAGTTACACATTTCAGCTGGGATTTTGAGAAAAAACTTCAAGAAAAGRCCTTGGTGCTTAAGAGGTTAAGACACCTTCTGTTCTGGGTCAAATTGACCCACTAATTAAAAACCAAGACAAAAATGTCAAATGAACCTTTTTCATTTTATATGTAAATTATGCCTATTAAGACAAATAGAGAAAGTTTCATGCAGAAAAAATACTTTGAACTATTTAAAAAAATTAAACTTTAAAACGGGTCAGTTTGACCCGAAACATAACAGGAGGGCATCAAAAAGAAATAAAGCAACATTTGACATTATTTGAATAGTGACTGCATTAAATGACACAGATTTAATTAGCGTTAGCGAAGCTAAGATTCTTATTTAGCAGATTGATGGTTAGTGAAGCTAGCTTCTTGGTTAGCTGTGCCCACCACAGTAAAGCACGGTGGCGGCAGTATAGTGTTATGTGGTTGTGCAGCTTTTCACTCTGTTAATTAACCAAAACAAATATTATTTTATATAAATGCTGCCTTTTGACAGGATTCTCTAACAGTTTGTGTTTGTGATTTCAGTACAACCCCAGTTCTGTCCCCAAATGGACGTTTATGTCCAAACATCAGGCTGGAGGACAGACCTGGAACCCGACAGAACCTGTGGTGATCCCACTCCTCTCTCCTAAAAAAGGTAAAGCCCCCTGTAGCCCCCCAGTGCACCATTCTCTGAATCAGATAAGTTGTATTTATTGGATATAAACTTTATATTAATTTTTTTGCAGCTTTTCTTTGTAATCTGACTCCTCCAGATCCACTGGAATTCACAGAACATGTACGAAKCACCAGAACCGCTCAGATTTAGGATAGTTTATATCAAAACAATATGTTTATTTCTTGTTTTTAGATGGTCCAGATCATATTGTTGTTGATTGTTTTTATGTTTAGATGCAACACTTCTACCTGAACTACGGCCACGATGCCTTCGGCTGCATGAGTGACCTCCTGGGAGAACATTTTTACTTTGGATARGGGAAAAAACATAAAGAGGTGAGTTTTATCATCATGTTAATAATATTAGAATACACGAAACGAAAACGTTGATTATATTTTAAAACATATTTTTATTTAGAGTTGGAGTTTACTCTTTAATAAGACACACTTTTGGTGTTTTTTTTCCTACAGAAACATCGTCGAGGTTCCGTCAACATGTGGACAATAAAAAACTTTCTTGAAAAGATGAAATATAAAATGTGAGTGTCACACAATCAGGAGGTCTGGATGGAGGAACCACAGGTTTTATTTTAGCTGTTTGTTCATCTAAAGGTTCGGCTCATTTAGCAGCAGATGGCTGCATCAGAGAACAGAAGGAGTTTTGAATGTCGATTTTCTGCGCAGTATATATAT